TTAGACAGGACAGGACGGTTTGACGCTTCAGCAAAAAAAAACATGCACAATACACGGTGATGATCTGGCATTCCATGGCTTTGACCGAATATGAACTTTATTCTATCACACGGGGCAACCATCACATAAAACGGAGCCCTGCATAGACCCAATTAATGAGCAAAAAGCTTTGGTGAAGTAGTTAGTTCGTTTTCCATTCTATTCATCGGCTATTTCGTTACGAGTTACCGGCTGCCTATACGGTCTATGTTTTTGGTGAAAACAATAAGCAGAACTACACATTAGTTAGTCATGTGATGTCGTCGACTGTTTAAAAAGAACAAAAAGTCAATCTATAGTGAGCCCAACTGTATGCGGACAGAATTCACTTGAGAGGTCAACTTCGTCACGGAACCATTATGGTCCTTGAAAACAGGCCGTTCCAGATAGCCAATTTTGACGCAAATAGTGACGCAAGACAGGTGACTGATTCATAGCAAGCAGCCAACCAAAGCGTCATTGGCAGTGATAGCCAGGCGGTTAAAGACATCTGATGTCATGTATTTAAACACACGTATCACCACCAGCATCTAACTAACTTTCTGTTTGAAAGAAATCAAATAGCAGCCCTTTGATTGGCCATTTCCTTCTTTCGGAAAATGTTCTAACATGGCTATGTGATCGATCACACCAAGTCAATTGCATGCTAATTATCGTCGTGTACAGAGGAGCGAACGATGCCTGAAATGAAAAACCAGGATGCCCCATCCACCACCGTGTACAACTATTTCTACATGATTGAATCTTATCAGCAGCGCGAATCCATCAGCTCGGGATTCCACGGATAGAAAGCAAGCATATTAGCCGCTTGAGCACCGAGTAGCGTGGGAAAATCAATACTACTTGCAAGCACATCAACAGTATCATTATTTTGAAGAAGACAAGAAAAAAATAACAGAGAGAGAGAGTTTTCATTCTTTCTTAGACCGTGTTTTTCTCTTTCGCCAAGCGAACTATCACACTGCTTGTGAAATTTACTATCTCAGCCGAGGTGTCAAGCTGTAATGCTTGAATTATGCACAAATCACGGATTACGACTCACGTATTTGGAAGCATGGACACCACAAAAGAACTGAATCACACTGGCACTTGCACAAGACGCCAGGAAAACACCACAAGGGTAGTAGTTCATTTATTGGATGAAATTAAAGGGAATGAATAACGTGCACAAAAGAATTTCATTGGTTACCCAGGCATCTACCAACCGCGTGCTCGTATTCTTGGCGTCGCACAGCTTCTGTCTGGGCCGTACGGCTTCCGATCGGTCGGCACAATCGGTCTATGGTTCGTTGCCCAGAAGCTGTAACGCGTAGGCAGTTTGCTGGTGTCATCCGGGAAGCTTGACTCATCATAGTTGTCCAGAAACCGTAACGTGTCACCCCGTGGTTTCGCGTCATCCCGTAAGCTTGGATCACCACAGCTACCAAAAAGCGTAATCATTGAGAATACATTGATGGGATGTTAGCATGCCATAGTAACCGGAGACGAGTGAGTTAGTTTAATCGATAATGATGAAAGTTGATCGATTCATGTGGAACCGATTAAGGGTAAACGACGAAAACTGGGTGACGCATGAGGGTTACATGCTAACCTATATTGATTGAGTATATAAAAGCCCGGAGATGTTACCTAACAAGACGGGTTATGTGCAACGAGACCGATTACGTGCTTTGACATCAATATCAATGCATTTTCGTTCTTTCTGTGTTTACAGACCACCTGATAGCATACTTTTTCCGTATTCACTTGCATTCGGGACGATTCTCTGGCAGATAATCCAGATCTCAACCTTGTTCATATGTTGTTTTAATAATCTGACGGACGGTGCTTGGAAAAACAATTGCGGAAAAAAATGCGGGAAGAATAGAAACGAACCCAGTTGCAATAAATTGAAAATACGGATTGCACCAGATTATGCTCGAATCAAACGTTCCTGTATTCAAGAAAAGCAGACATACAATCAGAATGAGTTCAGTCGATTGACCTATAGATTAGGGGCTCAGAGGGACAGCTGGTGTTCTGTTGACTGTACAAAGAACGCAATACGGAAAGCAATGTACTCCAATAGGTTAGGCCTGGTATTGAACCGGAAGACAGCAAAAGTTACCCATCACTAAAGTTAGTTTGCGATGACGAGATTTGAACCTCGGACTATGGGGTCCAAAGCACACTGGGTGACTGCGACTAAACCTCTTTATCAAAAACAGTAGAAACACACTCTATTTCTAGGTAAAATACAATTCATGGAGTTAGCTGATGATCTTATTCTATTAATCTATCCAAACCGTTGCTTGGTGTCTTCGTTGTTCCGTAGTTCATAACATCCGGATAAACAAACCCGAGTCCGTAACCATGGTAATCCCCTAAACTGAAATGACTACATCGGACGCGTGTTTTATCGAGGGAATTCGTCGTGTACAGAGCAGACGAAACGTGAACTGAGAAAAGGTAGAAAGCACAACCTATCTTTGCGAACTTATTTCAGGCATCGCACCTCGTTCAACATGAGCATCCCAGGGGTTATGACTAGGTTGGAAACTTTCACAACCCGATTATTGCTCTATGAGTGCAATAAGATTCAGCCAGGTCGAACCGAGCATAAACTAAGAAGCTGGTAAGCACCGAACAGCTGTTTCGACCTGGGTGGGTCTCAACAACAGCGAACAGCGAATCCACCAATGCAACTGAGGATCGAATCTTAAAGCTCACCGATACAATGCAAGCATCTTAGTCAATATTATTCGCTGTGGTACAAATTTTCATGTATCTATGTCAAATTGAGTGCTCTGAATGCTCACATGGAATTCCGTGTGTGTGTGTGTGTGCGACAATCAGCATGCGCAAAGCAACAACTAAATAAAATTCTGGACGGAAAAGTCAAACGCGGTCAGATTTGACAGCAGTCTAGCAAATAACTAAAATACACACAGACATGGGCGCACCGCCAGTTGCAACTCCAGGGTGGGAGGTCGTTGTGGACAGTAGTGTTTAGAATATATCTATGAGTATCACGCAATCTCATGAAGACAACAAGCACATATTAGTGGTGTATCACGAGAAAAATACTGCGAATCTGTGCCGGTCCTTGCAATCATGCAAAACGATCGGTATCTTCGATGAAGCCATTTTAGAACAAGCGCAAACACGCGGTTTTTGATAAATCTGATGAAGAAACTGCTACATACGTATTCGTCTATCAGTTCTCATTGCTAGTCCAATCACGTGACACAGCGGTTCATGATAGACATTAACTACAGGTATTGACCAAACTCGTGCACCATCCTGATTTTAATTACATTTGTTCCTCTCATTGCTTCGTTTTTCCGGCCTCATTCACGGGATTGAATATGATATTGCTTCACATAAGACGCAAAATATCTGATATAATACCCAATAATGTCTTTGCTTCAAATAGCCTTATGCCGCTAAAATGTACGATTACGCGATTTTGATGATGGTTGCTGGTGCATCAGTTGTAAAATAACAACGCCACCCTAGAAAACAAATAGAAGTTATTTATTAAAATGATTCATAGAAACCATACAGATATTCTAATTTCATCTCATCCATGTTCCATTTGCCCTTCATTTTTGAGTACTGCAAAAAGTCGCTTTAGCGAGAAGTCTACTGAGTTGACTGCAAAACAGAATTTGCAAGTTTCCTCTAATACGCCGTACACCCCAAACACTGACGACCAATGTCGAGGTAGTGCAATGGATGTAGTAGTAATAGTAGTACGCACGGAATTCGGAATGCAAACCATGAAATAAGAATCACCGGACACGAATCAATAATCAGCTATCACGGACTGGATCTCAGAAGCACTGGACCACAATGGCACGGGTTCGCGATGTCTCACGAAAATGAGACGCGAGCAAAAGGCCACAGGACTGACAGTAAGTAGTTCGTTTATTGGAAGAAATAAAGGCGATTAAATGATATGTACAAAGAGAGATTATTGGTTTTATGGGCGTACACCAATGGGATTGCAGTACTGCTTGCATAAATCTGCTTCTGTCTGCACTGCCTCGGATTGGCTGGCACGATCCACCAATGACGTGTAGTCAGAAACCATGCACGTGCCATTGGCGTCATCTTTCAAATTTCATTGATCGCAAATGTCCAGAAACTGTAATGCACCGCTCCAGGGTAGGTGCCATCGTGTAGGCCTGGATCACAACTCTCCTCCCTCAAAAGAACTTCGTCCAACTGAACTCTTCCTGGGATTGAGTTTCGTGGGGCAAGTGTAGTAATCTCTCTGTTAGGCTCTTCAGGATCACCGGATTCCTATTTTCTGATTATTGTACCTGAGGGTGTAGGTTCAGTGAATTGATAGTTCAAACTTGTAGAGTCGTTAGGGAATATTGGGTGGATTCTTTGTCGCTGATCAGCTGAATCGTTTGGCGAAGTAACACATCGCACCGATGTTCGCGATCTTCGTGGTTTGCGCGGTTTCACCGATTTTTCTTTGAACTTGTGGTGCACGACACTCTCGCACTTTGGTAGGACATTCTTCAGCAGTTCTTCAAATTGTGACACCGTCTTCTGGCTTGCCAATGAAATAGCACTTCTGACCGTTCTCGCCATATTCTTCGCTGCATCGTGCGAGCAGGAGCAATGTGATATTGCGCGTAAATTTCGGCGACCAATAATTCTCGATTTTGAGGATTGTGTGCACATAGTTCCAACGTTAGTGGGACTACTCGTGGTCAGCCTCCACAACTGGGCATGAACAATCGATGCTTTGTAAAAATGCGTTGACACAGGTTCGTTCAACTTCCGTAAGGCGTTCAGGCCAAGAATGGGATCAATTTCTCACCGACCAGAAATCAAATTTGGATGAAGCGATTTTTTGCTGATCGAACCAATAGCCACACCTCCCCCACCAATGGCAGTTTGTGTCCAGTAATGCCAATAATTTGCACAGTAGTTTGATGAACTTGTGATTCCGGATAGATAGATTACGGTACTTCAGTTGAAATGATAGATTCCGTACTTCCGGTATCCACAATGAAATTACGCTTCGTGCCAAACTGGAATGTCACATCTTGCTGTATGTACTGGGCATTTCGCCTGTTCGCCGAGCTTGGCAATTTGTTTGCAAACGTTTCATCACCAGCCGAGGTGAAATCATGCGTGCTTGTGAAGTGGTAGGTACTGGGCTCGTTAACTTTGAGTTCGTAGGAAAAACACAGAGCTGGTTTCCTCGTCGACCGATGGCTGTGCGAGACTACAATGGGGTTCTTTAGACATTCTACGAACATGGCCAGTTTTTCCGCAGGCATGACACTCGGCATTTCGGAAGCGGCAATTGGAGAGCATACGGTAAGCTGTACATGACAAACACGGATTGATACGTTTCTCATTGCCCGAAGAGTCGTGCTGCGGCTTCCGGACACACTTGGCCATTTGAGGTCGGTTTGATCGGGTATTCTGCCGCTGAAATAATGTGATTGCATCGCGGGAAATAGCTCTAATACACCTCGCACCCTAACAACTGACGACCACCATGCAGGCAGCTGACCTATTCGTGTTTCTGATACAAGGAAAAGTTTTCGATTAAAATAAAATCCCAGCTGCTGCGCGGTTATAGAACGAATTTGACATTGAATTTGACCCCACCAGAGACTGTAGACATGTGAAAAATTATATTTAATTATGCTTAACCGTTGTTCACTACCAACCTCAAGTGAGAAGATATACCAACCTTCATCTGTGAGAAATGTGACTTCCACGAATGAATCTAATGAGTAGCAATTACCGAAAACCTCCCTCATCAGTGCAAAGCATTTTGCGATATCCCGCTTGGTGTGTACAGGAGACCAATAACAAGACACTCGGTATTTACTTCAGTTCTAACCACTCAGGCGGGATGAATGTTTACGTCTTTTGACAGCCAAAACGAAATTCGTTAGAAAACTAGCTCGGTAGATCAGCTTTCACCGCATGCTGAATTGCTCGTTGGGCACCAGCGAAATAAACCCATTACCAAATGAACGGGCGACGCGATTTGAATTGGCTGGTAAAATCAATACATGCCCTGCGTCGTTGGGCGTTCCATAATGGCTTCATTTCATGTGACCTCAGCTGCATTTTAAATTGAGCCATCATTTTCCAAACGAAAGTGTGAGGAAAAACGGTTAATCAGTCCGGACTATTCTTCACATTCGTCTTGTGCGACCGTTCTCTGCTGCGATCGAATACAATCATAGTCTTGCTTTCATTTGATCGGTTTTCTCCCTCTCGGTTTATGTCTTGATGGAGAAATTTCGTTGAATGTGCAACAAATTGGGCTTATGCTCAAATCAAAGCCCTTCTACAAGACACCAACTGACCCATCAGATTTATGCGCCTCTGGATTAAAGTGTCTCTCGGCTTCAATTGTATGCCTTTTGGCGTTCCCTCTTGGTGTTCCATCCGGTTTGGATAGGGTGACACTATAAGACGCTTATTCAACGAGTCGCACACCTCAAGGTCCACTTTCGAAGATCAACTTGGATGTTTCTTCGACTATAGTTTCGTCTCTTTCAGTATTGTGGATAATGCGTGAGTAGTTAGTAGCCAAGTAATTCATTAATTTATTTAAGTTAGAATATTTTCATTCATTTCCTTATTTGCTGTGCACTGAATGAAAAGAGATAAAGTATTCAGAATAAGTTTATTCAACTTAATGAACACGCTCAGAAAACAGGAATCATTCATTAGAAAGAGTGAATTCCCATGCTGCTGTGCATGAAATATCTCCCAAATCTGAGCTGTAACTTTCGAACTACTACAAATTTTGTCGTAAAGCCCAAGGTCACGCTAAATTCAAACGGTGATAGATGAGAACTAAGAACATAGAAGTGGGAGATAAAATCAGGAATAAGTATGCTTTACCCATGGCCATCAATATACAAGTATGACATTGGAGATTGAAATGTATTTCCAAAATGAGAGTGATGTTACACGAGTTTGATCAACACCTGTAATGCCCTTCCAATCCGTATTGTGTGTGCGCCAACCTGATCCAGTTTTAGTTCGTCGTTTAATCGATCGATGTACTCTCACGATCATTCATTAAATCTCTAACCCGTTTCCGATCCGCACTCTTTCTGATTTCTTGTGTGGGGTACGAACCCTAAAATATTCAGCATAGCGTCGCGGTTGGAATTCGGTCCTAACAAAAACATATCTTATCATCCAGAGAGGTACACTCGATACTCAAAACCTGATTAGATGGACACGTGACGAACAAGCGAATTGTTCGGAAGCAATTTGTGCTGGTGCTGCTGCTGTTCATTGTGGAGAAACTAGAGTGTATAGTAGCAGCCAAAGAGATTTACGGACCAGTAACTGCATTCGCACTTGTAGCGGTCTGAAATCAAAAGAATCAAATTACCTACGTTACGGGAAAGGATCATCGGTACAGAACATTCTCATCAGTTCTCTTGCCTGTTCTTCTGATCGTGGTACTCTGAAATATATATATATATATATACGTTACACCAGTTTGATCAACACCTGTATACAGGTCTAATCGAAACTGAAGCAACGAGTCCCTGTGAAACACTTGTTGGTTCCTATGGACAACAGCATTCATACTGTAGTAATTTTTTTCATAACTAATAATAAACAAGTCTTGGAGAGTCTTTATATCCGTGATTTTCCTCATTCGATTATACTCAGCAGATGGAATAGTTCAAATTGTAGGGGATACTCCCATTTCGTCAATAGTGGTTGACCTAGACCATGATGAGTTAAGAGGTAACTAAAGAGAATGAAACAGTTTTTATTAACAACAAATTAGCACTGATAATAAGCAAGATGTAAAGTTTGTGTACACTAGTAGTCGATTAGTTTGCTTTTGTTCTTTAGAACTTGAGTCTCTTCGGCGTCAGACTCACCAACTTTGTTATGAAGTCATTTTCTATGTTGTGCTCCATTACGTAGCGCACTTTTTCTCGGATTGATTGAGTTAGATATCAAATATAGATTATTATTATGAAACCTTATTTAATGCAATTTCTCTGGGTTGTGAAAGAGTTTCATTTGGTTATCCAATAGCGTTGCTATAATGGAGTATACACTAGATAAAATAATGCCTCATTACAAATAAGGGAAATGGCAAGAGTTGACGGAAATAATTTGGGATAATTCTTGAGTCATTCTTATTAAAAAAGTATTGCATTGTCATACTTGATACAGTTCGCGATTCTCATGTTCAGATCATTTATTCTTGGCACTCAATGTCAGGCACGTTTAATTGACAATCATGCAGCCCAGAAACTACGTAGATCGAAGTAGACAAGATATGAAATATTGTCCATACCTAAAGCATTAATATGGGTGATAAATATAATGAAACTCTCTTTGATCATAAAGAAAATATTTTAGTGCATCACAATCCGCCAGAACTGTATATCGAACAAGTAACCAATTGCATAGATTTGTCAAAAGTGCCACAAAATACGAAGTAAATATCTATAGAATGTGTTCATAAGTTGCCTGGACATATAACTCCTGGTTGCCCTGACCGAGAAAGAGAGAACACCCCGGGATCCCCATCCGGAGCCTTCGGTTAGAAAGCCAGACCTGCAAAACACCAGGGCGGAACTCTGGGGTCGGCGTCCAGTTTATTTTATTACACACCCTTCAGATGAGGTAAAACATCCAAGAATCGATTCCCAAGTAAGCAGATGACCACCACCAAAACCAGGAAGATGTGGACGTTTTTAGTTCACACGCTTCTCCCCGGGTGGTTCGGAATCAAGGTTTTTGGAGAACTCCCCTCGGAGGACTGCCGGTGATTCACCGACTGGGTTATCGCCCCGGATATCATCCTTTCACTTTGGTGGGAAAATACCCTCACCTGAAAGCAGTGAGTAGGGCTTCTTCAATGGAGGCCATTTGAGACGCTTAGCCGTATATGGGAGCATTTCGCGGGGTGCAAGGGAAGGGTAACCAGCAGCAACTCGAGACACACCTCCGACCATGCTAAGGCTTTCGAAGGTATCTCTGGTGGCGATACGATTTATGTTACAGGCCATTCTTTTTCCACGATCAAAGAATACGTCACATGCTTCGTGAAAAACTGAATGATCTAAATGATTAAAACAAATCGTACAGATGAAAACTCGCCAAACACAAAAAAGCAAATTCCTTCTGTGCCCCTTAAATACACACTCGGATGAGGTTATTTTTCTTTGAGGTATCAGTCAAACTTTACGGACGGCGCAAAATTTTTAATGTTAATCCAGCTTTACGAGATAATGTTGGTCATTGCGCCACCCGTTTCAGTGTCTTGTTACCCAATAGGAAGCGAGCAGTGAGGACCAATGAGATCCATCGCAGTGCACACAACAGTACTACATCAGCACGAATGCGCGCGCGCTGATTGGATAGGGTGCTTACAGCCAATGGTCTATCCTAGCGTGCATTATTTGCACTGTTTGATTTCTTTCAATAAACTAACCACCAAATCCATGGTTTTTTTCTTTCACTTTAGCCTGGTGAATTAATTCACCAGGAATTCCATCAGCTGATTATGGGTGGTATTACGTACGATTGGTGCGCGCAATGAAAATGCATCCAGATATCCAAATATTGTGTAACACACGCTGAAAAGATCAGGTCAAAGCCCATAGGTATGAGTGCATAAAAATTCACAATAAACGATTGATGAAGTGATGTTCAGGAGCCGGAAATAATTAATTGCAACTAAATGACCCAAAGTGATTGCCATACACACTCGATGGGAGACACAAATTCCCCAGTAAATCTCATCCAATGAGATACCATACTTGTCAGGTTCTCATGTACTTTCCGGTTCGGGAATGTTCTGTCTCGTTTAGAACAGTGTTTTTGAAATATTGCAATTTTTATGAGACTTATTGTCTTTTGATAACTGTACATAGTCAAATCTGGATTGAGCTATCTTACGTATGTTTCGAACGATTACAGTGGGAAGATGAAAGTAATAGGAAGAAGAGGAACAGTGTTGTACTCCGAGTCTTCTAAACGCCCCTCAGGATTCCAGCTTAATGACCCCATCCCGCATGTTCAAAATCGGTTTGGAAAGAAAATAAAACAGTGAAAAAAATCCATCATATATTTCGGGCGTAAAATACAGTCACTCACACATACACGATAGATGCGGAAGACATAAACTGAAGCTGTGTCAATATTCATTTACCGTCGATCACTTGTATACAGGAAAGAAGGCTTGAACTCACCAGATATTGTATCAGTTCCTGTCACTGCAGTCAATGTCTCCGACAGATGGCATTCTTTTATGACCTAAAATTGTATGATACGT